ATGTATATATATATAGCCAATGATCTTTAATTCGAACGATTAGATGCACCTCCGAGATCAAATTCGAGTTTCATTCAAAACGTATGTACGACCGATAGTGCGTTGAAAAAGAATGAGAAAGAGGAAAAGAGAAAGAGAGATCATTAAAGCATAAAGTTAACGGCATAGTACTAGATGTATCCTTCCGTGGCTAGTTAACAGAATAAAATTATGCACGAGTTTAAAAGGTCTTCCTTAATGGGTTTTATCGAGAGGAAGGAGGAATCGAGAAGGGAGCGAGAATCCGTGCAGCTGTTTCATAGCACGATAACTACCGTGTGATATTGAATGGGTAGGTAATGTAGCTTCCGAGTACAAAAAGATAGGTCGGGATAAAGCGTGGAAGCTCATCGTATAAAGAAAGGATACCGAGCATACGCTTTACCACGTAAGAGTCCTAAGGAAGTCGAATGGCGATGGCTTTCACGGTCGATAGGGCCGATATTATTGGGTCTGGCACTTTGACTAGCGTGGAATTTACGATTAACTCCGCAAAACAGGAAATAAAGTCTGCGGAATATCGGTCTGCGGTATCCTAAGTTTTTAACATGACAAGAATTCTTCGATTATCTTGTTGCTACTTGATTGCGACGTCTTTCGTATATCTCTCCTTCCATTATAATAACATTTCTCCTCTTGATACTTTGTTTAAAAAAACGAGCATAAACGAAGTTCGATATTCACACGGTTATATAAATACGATCAAATTATAATTATTCTTTTAGAAATGGAAGATGCGACGAAATCGAAATTCAAATAAAAACTTTTTTAGAACTGGTTGGTAGATATTCCACGTTAGTATTAGTACCACCGATGAAGCGGCAAGGTACTCAGGAAAATTGGACCACCTGGTGGCCTCGCGGGAATGAGCGTGAATTCTATGCTCTTGTGGAAGAGAGAGAGAGAGAGAGAGAGAGAGAACGAGAGCGAGAGCAAGAGCGAGAGAGAGAGAGAGAGAGAGAGAGAGAGAGAGAAACGAGAGAAGAGAGAAGAGAATCGGAGCCGAGGCGATCGTGTCCCGCCAGTAGACGTTTCAATAACGTAACTCCGCGCGAGGAGCATTAATTGAGGAGAGTCGCTCGGCAATATGGGTGCTCCCATTACGTGAATAAATCACCCCAGATTAGAATGGAGGGTATACCGCTTGCCTTCGACGTTGGTATGTTGGTGTTGGTGGCGCAACAACAACCGATCGCGAGCCACCGTCCCGTTCTACTAGGACACGCCGGCTCGAGCCGGAGGTCCTCGTAAATTACCCAACGAATCAATATCGTCCTCTTCCCTGCTTCAATCTATACCCACCCAACCTATAGAACCCTCTCTTTC